CCTCGGCCTCCCGGAGTGCTAGGATTACAGGTGTGAGCCACCGCGCCCAGCTGAGATGAGAGGTTTTATCTTCCAAGTCATTGTCTGACTGTGAAGAGCTGTTGGGCCCCTGCCCATCTCTGGGGCTCCACTTTGCAAGGCTGATTATCTCTTTTCTTCCTCCTCCAGGCCTCCTATCACTCATTCACTCAACACACCGGGCACCTACTAAGTTCTCAGAGTTCAAGGGCCCCTGGCCCATGATCAAAATGTACCCCTGTGTGCCCTGTGAGCACCCATGGGAGCAGGGCAATCAATAGGGTGCTGTTAGCACTACTCCCATTGAACTCTCTGGAATAAAAGAGTAGGATACAATATTTATCCTTCTACAAATGTTCACATGGCATTCACTCTGTGCCAGGCCTGTCCTATTGAACATTGGCTTGCAGAGCTAAAGAGGACATGGTTCTTTTCTTAGGAACTCCTAGTTCTTGGGAAAGGGGAACAGGCGGAGGGCTATAATGCCAAGTTAAAAAAAATGCTGAGGCTGGACACCTCTGGGCCCAAACTGTAGCCCTACCATACACCTGTGTGGCCTTGAGCAAGTTACTCACCCTCTCTGAGCACATCTACATGCCCATAAAGTACAGATAATCCTTTTATGTGTCAGCTACCACTTATTGAGCAGGTATAGTGTGCTTGTTATTGTCCTAGGTTATTTATTTCAGTTTTCCATATAACTCATATTTTTGTCTATTTTTATTTTTAAAAGCCCAAATAAATTAATTAACATCTTTTTCAAAATAGGTAATACAGGCATATGATAAAACATTCCACATGAAAACTAAGTCTCCTCTCCCACATCCTCTAGTCTCCACAGCCTCTGTCCTGGGATAGTTGCTGTCACCACCTCTAGTATGTCCCTTCAGAGATATTTAAACCTTATACGAAATATACACACATCACTCTTTTCTACAAATGACAGTATACTGTATATATGGTACCTCACCTAGCTTTTTGCACTTGCCAGTATATCTTAGAAATAGTTCCATAACAGAATATATAGATCTGCCTGTGTTTGTTTTTAAGTGGTTGCTTGGTATTCCATTAATTGGATTTGCTGTACTTTAGTCTGATCTGTCCGTACTGACAGACAATGAGGTTGTTTCCCTTCATTTATATTTCAGGCTTGCTGCAGTGGGTACACACTTCCTGGAGCATGTGTATGTGCCTGTCTCTAGTATCCTGTACTAGACACTATATTAGATTTAATAATATTAAATTGCTTATTGGGATAAGCAATACAACAATAAGCAATTATCCTGATAAACAATTTAATGTCATTTCATTCTTATGCTCTCAACAGACCTATGAAGTTGTTTTCTAAAGGAAGAAGCTGAGACCATTGCTCTGATGGTTTTTTACCACTGAGTTTTGGACTCTGTTTGATAGTCATCGTGTCCTTGTGTCTTCTCCCCTGCCAGGGTTTGGCCCTTGAGGCCAGGGCCTGGGTCTCCTTCCTCTTTGCAGGAGGAGGAGGGAGAGTGGGAAGAGCACGGGCCTTGGCGTCAGTCCTGCTTTCCCCACTTGCTGCTATGGGATGGGCCAGGTGCTTGCCCTTGCTGTGCTCCTGTGAGGCACAATGTGTGCAGAATGGAAGTGTGACATGAAGAGCAATAATGTCTCTGGGTGATTAGTGCAGATCCTCAGAATCATGTAGGGACTCCTTCAAAGTGACATCCCTCCTGTAACGTGGTACAGAATGGCTCTCGGCAGGGTCCAAACATGAGCACCTCCCACATGCATAGCACTGTGCCCAAGCTCAGAAGACTCCTGCGGGAGCTGGGGCAGCTCTGGGGCCTTTGCTGCAGATGCCAAGCCAAGCAGAAAGCCAGGATGAGGGCTGCTGAGTGTTGCTGTCCCTTCACTGAGTGGACCCTCTGCATGGCAGGGAGTGATGCCAAGACAGGCTGATGCCTGTGACCAGCCACTTGGCTCTCAGTCTGTGGTATCACCACCAGCCAGGCAAAGTCATCCCTCCCACAGTGTGATCTGAAATTGCATCCCATCTACAGAGGATAAACTGACCCACTTCCTCCATCTGTTTTTATCAAAGTCTTAATCTGCATGAACTTCCCCGTTCAGACGACAAGCTCCTTCATGGCTAAGACTGCCTGACTCGTCTTTCTGTGAGCCCCGTGCCATGCTGAGCCTCTGCCGTGGGTACTTTACACATGTTTGCTGAATGACCGCTGAGTCCCTCCAACCAGGACCACCTCTGGCTTGTTTGTAGTCTTGGTGTACATTAGAGAAGGTGTCTCTGTGTGTGTGGCAGCCTTGAGCCTGGGCACACCGCAGGGCACGGGGCTGGATTTGGGACGCCCCTGCCACTCGGTTGGGCAACCCGTTACTTATTTCTATCTCTGCCTTCTCCCCCTCTTGGCCCAGTTTTCCTCTTCCTCTTGTCACGAATATCCCCTGAGCCATTCAGCAGGGCAGTGAATTAAAACAGGAATTTGCTTTCGGAATCACAGAGAGGATTACATAGATAATGACACATGTAGAGCAAGGGGCCTGGCAGTTTAGTAAAAGCTCGATAAAGAGTGGCTTATTCCCCTTCCTCCCAAATAGTTTGAAAAGAAAGCATGTTTGGTTTCAGGGGGAAAAAATCAACCTTTAACGACCAAATTCCCATGACACCCAGGACAGAGGTGAAACAGGAGAGTCCACAGGCAGCCTCGAGGAGTCTAAAAATGCAGAGGACCTCTGCTTCCTCATGCAATGCAGGAAACAAGCTAATGCTTATTAAGTGCCTGGTGTATGCGACAAACTGTGCCAGGTGCTCCTCTTAGAACAGCTCATGAGAATGAAGCCCAATCTTGCAGATGACAAATGTCAGGCTCAGAACTTCCATGCTCACCTGTCACTCAGCCAGAGAGGGCAAACGCAGGATTCAATCTTGGGAGTGCCCAAGTCCACAGACGTTCCTGGCCTGAAGGACTGACCACAGGCATAGAGAGATGCACAACGATTTTCACTGGCTTTGGCCTCCTCCTGCGGTGAGCTTTGCCAGCTGTTTTTACTGGAGGAGAAGAGGAGGAGGAGGGTGGCTAGCCCAGTGTCCCTAACATAGAATCACTAAGGACTTGACTATTTCTGCTCTTCTACAGCAGCACGTCTGGGAAGATTATGTTCTGGGACAAACTATACACACTAAGTAACAATTCCTGTTTCCCCATGTATCCGCTTGAGTCATACAAAACTGACATTTGTGCAGCTCAAAAATAGCTGCATGTCAGCAATTTTATACTGTTCAATTTAAATATGATTGATTAAGGTCACAGCCAGAGGTTCCCTGAAGCAGAGAAAGCATACACGTTCCCCAGGGCTAAGAACCCCATCACAGCCTGAGCCGGCCCAGGTGGGAAAGCCAGGCCCCTTCAGCCGGGGAGAGTGTGTGAGATGCAGGACGCAGAACAGAGGCTGGGAAGAGAGGGGCCACGCCCTGGCCGGGGAGGGTGCCTTCCCTTGGCGAGACACCGCCTGGGTAAAACCATCATGGAAAGGGTGCAGTGAGGTGTGGAAACTCCCTTGGTTAAAGCGTGGGAGCTTTGCTTTAAGTTGTGGTGAGCAGGGAGGCAGTGTCAACCAGGAGGCACGCTCTGAGCACACCCAGTGTCTGAGTGGCCTGTCTGTGGCGTCGTGAGGAAGAGGAGGAGGTGCTCAGACGAGCAGTGCAAAAGGGCTACCTCTCACTTGGCTCTGGAGTAAATGGCCAGCAAGTCCCAGCTGGGAAAAGCAGGGAGTGGGACAAGCTTTATTTCCCAACCTGTGTGGAAATGTCTTCTTCTTCAATTCCTGCCCAGAAGGAAACAGGAGATATAATAGTAGGGAAGGCCGGGCCAAAGCGAAGCACAGGGCTGATGACCATCGGGTGAATTAGGCACTGGGGGCCAAGCCCAGCAGGCCACTTGAGCCCCGGCCTTCACGTGGGATCAAGCATCCCTTCTGACTACAGAGCCCTGGATGATGGCAGCACCTCCTCTTCACTCAGGGCTGTAGGATGACCAGCCGTCCCAGTTTGCTCGGAACTGAGGGGTTTCTGATGCGGGACTCTCAGGGCTAAAACTGGGAAAGTCCTGGATAAGCCAAAACAAGTGAGTCACTCTATGTATGGCTCTGTCTGATCCCTGCTAAGGAAAAGAAGGACTTGTTGGTTCCAAGAGGAAGAGGAAGAGAAATGGCTCTCAAAAGACAAAGGCAATGCTTGCCTAGCAGGGAAGATACCATGGTCACAAAGGTGGGTTTCCCAGGGAGTGGCTCATCCATCGCACCCCAGATGTGCTGACCCCTGTGTTTTCCCCAAATGCAGGAAACTCGTTTGCATAATTTGTGGTTAGTAGTGTTTTCCCCTATTTAAAAAAAAAAAAAACAAAAAGATAAGGGCTTTTGGGTGTTGGTCTGCTCTGGGCTCTGGGACTGAGAACTGCTCTCCAGGGCTAGTTTCATGGAGGAGAAACGAGGGGCCAGCAGGTGGAGAAGGTGGAAATAAAGGGAGAAGGTGGACAGTCGCCTCGGGGCAGTTGGGACTGGAGGTATGAATTACAGCCGCACCCCACCATCCCGCTACGCCTCTTGCCATGGTCCTCTCTCCCCCATCCACACCTTGGTCAAGCTAGCAACCTTTTGGAGGGACTTTTGAAAGTCAAAGAAAAAAAGATCTGTCTCAAGCTTCGAACGGCCTAGAACCAAATGCTCGCTGAGCCGTTACTGTGTGGCTTTGGGTGTGTCATTAAACTTCTTGGGTACCTGGCTGCCTCTCCTGTCAAAGGAGTCTGTTGCAGCCTCCATCACAAGACTGTTAGGGGATTAGACAAGACAGCATGTGTGAACTTGGGAAATAGCCAACACACATTCGTTTCTTCCTGCCTGCCTATGTGTGGGGCCAGACAGAATTCCACCTGTGTTCCTTGGAGAACTAACACTGTTACTTGTTTTACCTTCTGATCCAGGCCCTCGCCATGCCCACCCTCTCTCCTGAATATCTGGAAAACTTTGAGTATGATGAGTCCTCTGAAGCCTGTGACATTGGGGAAGTTGTGGCCTTTGGGACTGTCTTCATGTCCATATTCTACTCCCTTGTCTTTGCCTTCGGCCTGGTGGGAAATTTGCTGGTGGTGTTTGCCCTCACCAACAGCAAGAAGCGCAAGAGTATTACTGACATTTACCTGCTGAACCTGGCCTTGTCTGATCTGCTCTTCGTAGCCACCTTGCCCTTCTGGACTCACTATGTGCTAAGCGAACAAGGCTTCCACAATGCTGTGTGCAAACTCACTACCGCCTTCTTCTTCATTGGCTTTTTTGGAGGCATATTCTTCATCACTGTCATCAGCATCGATAGGTACCTAGCCATTGTCCTGGCCGCCAACTCCATGAACAACCGGACTGTGCAGCATGGCGTCACCATCAGCCTTGGCGTCTGGGCGGCAGCCATTTTGGTGGCGGCACCCCAGTTCATGTTCACAAAGCAAAAAGAAAACGAATGCCTTGGTGACTACCCCGAGGTCCTCCAGGAAATCTGGCCCGTGCTGCGCAACGTAGAAGCAAATTTTCTTGGCTTCCTGCTCCCTCTGCTCATTATGAGTTACTGCTACTTCAGAATCATCCAGACGCTGTTTTCCTGCAAGAACCACAAGAAAGCTAAAGCCATCAAACTGATCCTTCTGGTGGTCATCGTGTTTTTCCTTTTCTGGACACCCTACAATGTTATGATTTTCCTGGAGACACTCAAGCTCTATGACTTCTTTCCCAGTTGTGACATGAAAAGGGATCTGAGGTTGGCCCTCGGTGTGACTGAGACAGTTGCATTTAGCCATTGTTGCCTCAATCCCCTCATCTATGCATTTGCTGGGGAGAAGTTTAGAAGATACCTTTATCACCTGTATGGGAAATGCCTGGCTGTCTTCTGCGGGCGTTCGGTCCATGTTGGTTTCTCCTCATCTGAATCACAAAGGAGCAGGCAGGGAAGTATTCTGAGCAGCAATTTTACTTACTACACGAGTGATGGAGATGCGTCCTTCCTCTGAATGGATCCTCAATGCTTTGTCTCTACAGAGAACCCAGAGTTCCTGAATCTGACACTGAATAATGAGGACATATTTTTTTCTTTGTTGTTTCTTACATGCAAGAAATGATGGGCCCAAAGCCCACAAAACAACCCTAGTGTGTTTTTGAGAATTATGCTCAAAATTCGAATGATAAAGAGTAGATATATCTCTTAGAGCGAATGTCAGGATTTTGTTGTTTACAAACAACAAAAATTCAGGCCAGACTAGTTTAGTTAAAAAGGGGGTGGTGAATATTGTTCACATTGTGACATGAGCAAAGCAGTGGCTGAACACTCACGGTGAGTGGAAACCAGGGCTTGAAACTACCTAGAATTACCTCTCTCTGACCTCAAATCTTGAGTAGTGACAGATCTCCCAGACTCACATAACACAGCTTTATCACCAAAGAGAGACTGACACCCATGCCTCTCTGGTCCCAAGGTCAAAATTCCCAGGGAAGGGTTCTGATTGGCCAAGTTTGTATGAGGTGCCCATCCCTGGCCCAGATGGTGGTATCCATGGGAAAGGAATATACAAGAAGGCAGATTCAGTCCAATCTCATGGTTAGAAGTGCAGGAAGACATATTTCCAAGAAGTCAGAGGGATAGGTATTGTTCTGATCAGGCAGGACAAGAGCTGCACACCATCCTTACCATGTTTCTGATCCAGCCTCTGCACTGATCACACCAGCCAGCATCTTCTCTCAGCATCCTCTTCATTAAGCCCTCTTCTAACATGTCCCCAAACCTACAAGGCCTCCCCACTGCCCACTGCATCAAGTCCAAACTCAAATTCCTGGCCTCTGAGACCCTCCATCATGTGGTTCCTCCAACAGATTCCTCATTGTCTCCCCCTTCCCAAAGGACTCCACCCATCCTGTCAGCCAGGTATCTTCCATATGACCTCATGTATCTCCACCTGCTCCCAGGTCAGGGGGAGAAATAGAAAGAACCCTGCCCCAAAGTGAGGAGGGTTGGATTTCAACCCTAACTCTGTCACTTACCCACTAGGTAGCTTGGGGCCAACCAAGCTTCAGTTTCTACATCCACAGAAGGGGGATAATGGTACCTTTTGCATAGGGAGCTTCCTTTCTAGCATGAGAAACCAGCCATCAGCTCTTGCAGGTCCAAACAGTCTTGCCTTGTTCCCAGACTTCAGCTTTCCCCTCACCTGGCACCATTGCATTGTGCCTAAGTGGAGGCGCTGATGGAACCTGGAGGGGCTTACAGACTTTGCTGCATGATGTAGTCCAGACACTGAGGTCTTGTGATGGCACCCAATGAGCACTGCTAAGTCTACAGAGTGATAATCTTCCCTAACCCAGCTCTCCCGGATTCCTGGAATATTTCCTCCCAATAACCTCATGGCAAGCCCCTACTCATCTGGGAAAAAAAACCCATCATTCATGCTACTGCCAACTGGAGGAGCCACGGCCACTGGATAAGCTTTCTTTTTTCAGAAACACTTGGGGAAAAAAAAAAAAAAACATTTGGGATAATCTAAAACTTTAGAAAAAAATTATAATAATGCTAAAGAAAATGTCATCCATAATCTAACCACACCAATATTGTCATTCCTGCATACACCCATACAGACCGTGTTCACAGTTTCACGTGTTTAGAGTTACAATTATAATGTACAGTTTTGTAATCTGCCTTTTTCTCTCTTAACATTAGACCCCAAATAGCTTTCTGTTTCTATGTAGTTTTGTTATTATCGTTTTAGAAGACTCTACCAGATTGTGTATTCATTGAAGGCAGATGTGATATCTGATTCACTGCTGTATATCTGATACATTCCTGGCAGTCTATATGTTTGTTTAATGAATAAGAGAATGAATCATGTTTCTTTAAGATCAGGAACCATAATTTACTCATCATTAATCTTTCGATAAACACTTAACATGTTTCCAATATTTAGCAAATACATATTTTACAGCACTCTCATCTGTGTGATTTCCTTTCTCCTATTCAATTATTCCTTTGGATAAATTTCTTGCCATGGGGATAACAGGGTCAAAGGGCATGGAAACTTTGTACCTTTTTATACATACATATGAAATCAGTATATTGCAAAATCTTGATTGAGCACATATTATATGCAACCCGAGAACTCAGATACAGAGCTATTCCAAAGATGATCAGACCAGAGCTTTGCCCTCAATGATTTAACATTTAAATGCAGAACAGAGGAGTGAATGAATGAGCATGTTCTCTTTGCCTTAAGTGGTAGCACAGGGACAGTGACTTCTGATCTGAGTCTTTAGGGGAAAGGCGTTCTCCAGGAAAATGAGAAGAAGGGCTTTCCAGGCCGAGGGGACGACATGTGGAAAGGAGGTGTGCAAGAGCATGAGGCGCTTAAGATGTGAGAAAACTATGTGTGAATACTGAAAGGCACCAGAAGCAGAGTGGTAAGAACTTTCTGGGGCTGGGGCTGTCAGCTGTGGGTGTGGGCTCACATGGAGTGGATAATTCTCCGTAGGATGTTCATGAGGTTGCTCCATCTTTACCTGATCTTCATTCCAGCTGTTGAACCTCAAGACTTTTAAAAGTTTAACCTATTTCTGGACTTCCAAGGAGGAAATGATTCTTTCGACTTGAGAAATAAAAGTAGGGGAACAAACACTTTCATTTCTAGAAGAAAATTAAATTTGTGTCATAATAAACCTATATTCATTCATTCATTTTGCTGAATAGGACAGAATAGGGAAAAAAAAATAAGGACATTCATTGAAAAACTCAAAATACAAGGATGCTGATGTCTAAATAAAGGAAGGCACATTTAGAAAAGACAGTTGGCCCTCAGAGCACAACTGGATCAGACCCACTCTGCTTCTGAGCTCTGGACTTCCCAAAGCAGAGGGAGAAGGTGGACTCCAGAAGCAGAGAGATCTGGGATGAGTCCCAGCATAGTAACTCTGTGACCTTGGGCAAGTTACGTCACATCTTCAGGCTAAGTCTCCTCATCAGAAAAATAAGGATAAAAGTAGTTTCTACCTACTACAGTTCTAGTAGAGGATTTAGTAAGATTTCTACCAAAAATCTCACAATGCAGACCTGGCAAAGCAAGCTCAAAAGAATGTTGGTGATTATTTTTATTCTTCTTCTCACTATTATTAGATCAAGCTTTTCCCAGCGAGAAAACTCATACTAGCTTATCCTTGCCTTTTTGCTTTTCTTAGTCCCAGAACCACAGCCTTTGGGGTGGTCAGAGATGACCATGTCCAATCTCACACTTTACAGGTAAGGAAAAGGAGGCCCAAGGTCCCACAGCGAATTATTGCAAGAGGTAGATCCTTGACTCAAGGTCCACCACTTCCTTCCTCATCCTGATGAGAATACAGACCAAACCAGCCTCTAAGAACAACAGAGAACACAGGTGGAGAAACGAGAGAAAGCACAGAAAGAAAGTCTGCAGGCTTATGACTAGGCAAGGAGGAGCTGCCTGCCCAGCGGCTGCAGAGTTAAACAGAATCAATCTGCACATGGACAAGTACATGCTCTATGGCATAGAGTTTGGTAAAAGCTGTTTGGAGACATCCGTATCTCTAATGACAGATGGTGTCAACAGACAGAGACTCATCAGCAAAGGCTACCCCAGAGGCAGATGCCATCAGCAGCCTCCAGCAGGATATGGGTGGGCCAACCCCTAGACAGATGGCTCATGTCAAAGGACGGCCATAGCCAGGGGCTGTCCAGTGCTTGGGTGAAATGCCAAATCCCTTCCAAATAATTCTACTCACGTCAGGTTATTCTATGCTCATTAAATGACGTTCTAAGGAGCATATCCTTTCCCAGGACCTTGCCACCAAGAAAGATGCAGAATATATGCTTTCAGTTACTAGGAAGAGCTATCGGCCCTTATAATCCCCCTGCACCTCGCAAGTGTGCAGGATCTAGTGGTTTTTCCATTCATCTCCCTCTGAGATGCTGTCCCTGGATGTCTAGGGAGACAGGTCACCTCTGGCCACCAATTCCGTCTGAGAACATGGCAACCTGACTATGAGAGGTCCACTTGGGTAGCACCTGTCTCATTAGTGCCTTCAAAATTGGGGCAGCCTGTCTTACCCCAAAACCAATTTTCTTCTCCACCTGCACCCCATTCACTGGCCCATGGGGACCACTTCAGTTTCAACATGACTTGTAATATTGTTTGCTTATCTAGCTGAGTTGGCAACCCCATTTTGGGCTACCTAAGAGTAGTACAATCTGAGAGCAAGTAAAAGAAGTAGGTCTTAGCAAACTTTAGAAATATCCGGCCTCTCTTCAAGACACTCTCTATCCACAAAGGGCTAAGTTGTTTTTGAAGGATATGTGGCATCGTGTTTCTATTTCTGTTGCATGAGGGCATGTTGTTAGGCAACAGCAGGAGTTCCTGCAGACACGCCCGAGACAGCGCTAGCAACCGCAAAACGTCCTCAGCAGGAAAATTATTCTTTTACACTATATTTCCTCATTTATTTTGGTAGAAACAAAAAATAGAATTTTAATTTGTATTTCTTTAAATACTAGGTAATATTGTTCAGCTTTCAAGGTGTTTCTTGTAAATTCTTTCTATCTTTTTCTGATTCTAAAGGAAACACACAGTCATAGAAAATATGAAAAAAATAAGGAATTTTAAATTTAAAAACTTTAAATTATACAATATTCCACCTCCCAGAGATAACCATTGTTTAACACTGAGGTGATTTTCTACCGTGACTTTCTCTGCAGATATAATTAAAAAAAAAAAAAGATTTCAGAATAGACATTTCTTAAAAGAAGTCATACAAATGGCCAACAGGTATACGAAAAATGCTCAACATTGCTAATTATTAGGGAACTACAAATTAAAACCACAATGAGCTACTTAAACGCCTGTCAGAATGACTTTTATCAAAATGACAAAAGATAACAAATGTTGGCAAGAATGTGGAGAAAAGGCTACCCTTGTACGCTATTGGTGGGAATGTAAATTAGTACAATCACTAAGGAAAAGAGTTTGGAGTTTCCTCAAAAACTAAAAACATAATGACTATATGATGTAGCAACCCCACCTCTGAGTATTTGCCCCAAATATTTGAAATCAGTTTGTCAAATAGATACCTGTGCTCCCATGTCAATTGCAGCACTAGTCACGGTGGCCAATTTATGGAATCAACCTAAGTATCCACCAACAGAGGAGTGGATAAAAAAAATGTGGTGCATATACACAGTGGAATACTATGTAGCCTTTAAAAAGAAGGAAATTTTGTCATTTGTGACAACATGGATGGAATGGGAGCACATTATGCAGAGTGAAGTAAGTCAAGCACAGGAAGACAAATACTACGTGCTCTCGCTTAC